TCTTGGAGAAAAGAAACTTCCTCTCTCCGGGATACGGCAACATTATCCAAGTTGAGAACTGCGCGTCTATTAAGATTTAAAAAAATTTAATAATAAAATAATGAAAATAAATGACAATTATTAATATATATAAAAATTCAAACAGTTTTTTCCCATATTCTATGTACATATATACTCAGGGTGTCTCACTCACAATACTTTCGTATCATATTCTAAAGGTAAAGTAGAATAAAAAAATAATATAAAAAAATTTATTATGTGCAATATACAGAATGTTTCTTTTTGAATTTTAATACGACGCGATGCTTTTTAATAATTAATACATTATAAAAGGACTGTTATGATGTTGAAGATAGAAAAAGATGTGTATCGGTTTATTGTTATCGTGATTATTAGGATTATCATGATAAAAAAATATAGAAAAATGATATTTTTTCCGGTAAAAAAATTCTCTTGCTTTTCTTTAGTAAATAACATTGTAAATAACTTATCGTCATGAAATTTTTTAATTTCTTTCTTGTAACGTACAGGGAGGACAAGGCGGTTTCGAGGATGTGCGAAGATACATCAAGCAAGGAGGAGACTTTTGCAAGGAATTGGCATCGATTCTTCATGAAAGGTATTTTTTAGGCGATTCTTTCCCATCATTCGTCATTCACGCGAATTTTTCAACAAGAAATTGTGAAAATACGTTTCAGAGCCGAACTGGAAGCTACGTATACAAAAGGACTGAGCAAACTCAGTAGCAAGCTGATAAAAGCCTGCGCCAAGGATCAAGGTGATGATTGTCTTCTTTTCGATACAAGTTAATTTTATGCATCCATCGCATTATTACGTTGATTATCGATTAAATGTCCCATACTGATGCGTATCTCTTGATTTTTTCTATCATCAGAAATATCGAAAATTCACGATATACATATGTATATTTCTAGACTCGATGCGCAAACATAATAATCGCCTGTTTTGATAAAAAGAAAAGAGGAAATTAGCTTTAGAAGGAAGAAGCTTTGTTCTTTTTTTTCATTGTCAGTTTTATATGTATATTTGTTTATTAAACCTACAGTAGAGAGTACAGGTTCCGCGGTTTATCTTTTTGAGTAGAGTATATGTATAGTAAATATCAACGAGAGCGCGATGTTGGCGCGTTACGAAATACAGACGGTGTTCGTAGCAATATCGTCTTTTCTAATTGTAAGTATCTCCTCTTTCATAATACAGGTGGTAATAGCAACGGAGGTGTGAACGAGGCGTGGAGGTGTGTCGGCGAGGAAATGGAGGCTGCAGCGGAAGCACATCGGCTATGGGGCATCGCGTTAAGCGAACAACTTGCCAAACCGCTCAGAGTAAGTCCGAGGTCTATGAAGATGATCGTGACGATCAAAAGACCGCGTGAAAAAGATTGGATGCGTAACCGTGTACTTACGCAACGTCAGGATCGGACGCGATCGTTGCAAAACTACAAAATTAAAATCGCCCAAGGAAAATTTAGCTTGACAATTTCTCGACAACACAAAGTGTCCAAAATTGAGACATAAGACGTCTTTGATGTCTAAAAGACGTCCTGTATATTTCAATTTTAGGCTTTGTGTGTTGTCTGGCTTGAAACTCTCTTATATATCTTACAAATTATATTTCGCTGGCGAAAAGTATACGTCGAGTTGGATCACAAATATATTAAAATGACCAAAATTTGAAACGTGACATTACTACATCACACATATATACTATATACGCAGCAATTACAATATAAAGTTAAAATCAACATTTAGAATTCGGTAATAATCACACAAATTTATTTCTGTCTATTCCTTGGGAATTAAAATAAATAGAAATGGATTTGTATGGTCATTACCGAATTCAAATTTTTGATTTTTCGGATATCGGGCGTTTTACTTACAATTGAAAAGATTCAATCTCGTAAAATAGCATTGAACGTTGATAGACTGCAGGATCGAAAGGAATGAAAAGATGACGCGTATATATAACACATACAGGTGGGAGTAGCGGAGACGCAGGGCCGATCGAGGAAGAGCATCGAGAACTCAGTGGACAAGGCGTCCAAGTCGCTGCAAGAATGGCGTGGGATAGCGGCAAAGAGTAAAAAGCAGAGCTTCGCGTGCGCGCGCGAAAACGAGAGGTTGCAGGATCTGGCGCGGTTGCAGACCATCAGTCAAAGCCAGCAGAGCAACAATAGATCGTCAACGTCGAGTCATCATGTCACGGAGAAGGAAGCGAGTAAACTGGAGGCTAGACGAAGGAAAGCCGAAGACTCATCGCGCCGAGCGGATACCGAATTCTACACGGTCAGCGTGAGAGCCGAGCGGGCCAGGCTCGAGTACGAGAGTACGATGAAGAAGGGCGCAAAGCAGATGGAATTGCTCGAGGAGGAGCGACTGAGCGCTCTAAAGGACCTCGCCAACGTGTACTTGACGCACTTGCAGGCACTCGCGCCACGATTGCAACAGGTAATACCCCACACAGCGGATACGTTCAAAATACGTCGTAGAGACATCTTAAATTAAAGATAGATTTGGGATATGTGATATCTTCAGGATATCTTTGACGTATACTTCGAATATTTCTGCTATATGGATATTACGAACAATTGAAATAATCGCGCGATTACGCAACATGCAACTATGTTTTAATAATTGATCATAAAGATAATTCAAAATTTCTCAAATGTACTTTCTTAGAGCGCCGACCGCTTACTAACACCCGTGCGCAGCTGCAACGTGTCGCAGGATCTAGAAATCTTAAAAAATCTCGTACGCCGAATGGATAATAACGATGTGACGAACGCGGAACAATTACTACCGGATTTCTACGCCGAACACGTTACGCTAGCGATGAACCGTGAACGGCGAAAGCAGGCATTGGTGAGGGTGCTGCATCTGATAAGGCAAGATCTCGAGCGGGAAAGACGAGGTAGAGAAGGCCTGGAAACATTGCATCGAGCCTTTGTCAAAACTCCGGCGTTTGCGGCGGACGAAAGCACGCAAAACGTAACGGATAAACTGCATCACGTACGTACATCGAGCACGGTGTATTTGTCGCTAATCTGATCGCTAACGTAGTCAGGAATATTATTTTGTACTAGTATGCGCGCGCAATATAAAAAAAATTAATAAATTGTCGTACGTTTCCGTAGATGCGTTCAATGTTGTTATACTTGGAAGCGGCTAGGTACAAAGTCGGCGGTACGCTCGCTGAAGTGGAGGGTAGCAAACGAATCAAACATCCTTTGTCGGACCACATTTTAGTTTCGAGAGACAAGCAGGGTTTGCAGCAAAGTGTTCTCAAGGTATAGTATTCTCAAAGTACACACACATATACAAGAGAAACTTTTCAAACAGTGAGGGGCGAGTTGAATTAATCGTGGATGAAGTGGCACACAAAATTCCTTAAAAGTAGACGTAGAACCGCTTAATAGAACACTGTAGAATAGTTTAGAAGTGAACAATCAGTTATTATGTTCAGTATATATAATATGATTATACTCGAAAATTATATGTCCGATATAAAATAAACAAGATACTTTATTGTATTTTCTGATCTCCTTTCAGATTCCTTCTTGGGCAAAGAATGAATCTTTCGAAGTTCAGGACAGTGACGACGATCTGGAGTTGCATTTGACCAAGGATCAGGACGGTGAAACCCGTGATTGGGCTGATCGCACCGCCGGTGACGGCAATTCAGAAAATCCACCGGACGAGGATGATTTTAGTGACTTCGACGAATTTAGCAGTCACTCCGAAGACAACAACAATCAAATTGATGGTACGGAAGTGCCATCGGCTAAGATTGAACACGCGGAGCAATGCCGAGCGATCTACCAATACTCCGCGAATCTAAATGACGAGCTCAGTCTTAATCCGGGAGATCTGATAACCGTTCATCAAAAACAGCCAGATGGCTGGTGGATAGGCGAGTGCAGAGGTCGTACCGGTATATTCCCTGCCACTTATGTCCAAGTCATTCATTAGCATAAACGCGAATGATTTCACATTATATTGATATGCAAGGGGGATGTATACATACTAACATTTGAAAGAATTCCACATGACGTGACGAGACGTCGAACACGTGTGATGATGACGATAGTATCCTCTTACAGGAGTTTCCACCTGGCTTCGTTAAATCAGATAAGAGTATTATAATGTGCCAATAACGTTACATGCAACGATTACTTTATACGCACAAATCGAGGATATTTCGATCACGAGCTCGCATAAAGATGACTTGAGAATACCAAATAGTAGTTACCATCACATCCAATACATCTAGTGCCGAGGTCTGGCGGAAATATTTTAATCATGTCGTTACTATTTGCGCTATATATACATTTATCGTTCTCTGTTATAACATATGATTAATACTTGTTTATACGTACCGTTAAACGTACTGTGAAAAAGATCGGTCCAAGTTATGATTTTGAATAGTTTTATAGTTTTATTAATTCTGACAATGCATTTTAATTCATCGTGCGTATTATATATATTCTTATCAAGATAAGCAATACAAGTTTAATCGTATCTTGCTGAAAAGTTTCTTCGCTAGCATGAAATTATATTGAATCTTTATAACTGGTGTATTTCTTTAATTTATCGTTATAAAAATTACGATTGCTTATCATATTTATTCTTTACAATTTTTTCTTTTGTCACTATATTTCAGCTTGGGAATATTATTTTTCAAGTATGCTGTATATGTATATGTACATATATCTCATTTTTAAAGCCGAGATTGTCATGCGCGCGCGTGTATAATTTTTTCTTTATATAATAATTTATTGAAAATTTGTGAGAAATGTGAAAGTATTTAGCGAACTCTCGAAACAAACTGTTTACGAGGGGACAGAACCGCGCGCATACAAATATAAAAAATTATATATGTATTATGTATACATATATAATTTATATTTATGTCATGCAAACAATCAATTATAAATATTCAGATATATAAGAAGTTATTTTGAATATATATTTTACCATAATACTAATATAACTAATTTATTTACAAATAAGTTGGTCTATTGCAGTGTGCAATTTGTTAATCCTCCGTGTCGCCCAAGTAATCCCGTTGCAATTGCTTTTTTACCTCTTGTATGACATCGGTGCTATTGGCTGTAACAAAACGATTGCGTAACAATATCGCGAAATAATACGTCATTATTCGATGCAAGTACTACAACACACCACAAAACGGACTGGTACTGGCTGTAGGCACGAAAAAACTTCCACGCTGATTATACATTTCTGCTCTAATGCCCATTTCCGAGCAAATGTTTTCGTCGCATGGTTCCGCAATTATTTGTAAAAAATGTCTATATGTCAAATTCCATTGTTGTGCCCAGAAACTACAATTGCGCGCAGTAGCAGACGTCAAAGATTCTATGAGATAGACGTAAGAACGTCCGTGACTACATATCGCTTGTTGTATCGCTACAAAGTGTAACAACAAATTCTATTTTTACTTATTGTTTCAGTTAACTATGTAGTTAATAGTCATTTCATATTAGCACTAGCTAGTTAATAGTCATTAATTTTTAATATACCAACCAGCTGTAGGAATCGGTAAGTAATCGAAGTATGACGTTCGTACACTGCGTACACAGCCAGGTTGCACTTTACCACCATTCGGATAGAAATCAACATGACCTATGTACATTAGAATGATATTAGGATTAAAAGTAGGATTGACAATTATCTGGATATCTGAATATCCGAGATAGAGATAGATCCGAGGTAAAATATTCGATTGAACCGGATATCCGGATCTTTTGGATTCGAAATTTGGCTGAATACGAATTTCGAATCTTCCGAAATCTTTTTTGTGAGTTTGATAAATTTTACATATAAAAAACTACGAGCTAAAAAAGATGAAAAGATTTCACTTCGTGGGTCTTTCACATGCCCCAAAAAAATTGCAAAAATTTTCGTGTATCTATCGTAAAAGCTCTCCCTGCAAAATCATTTTTTTTTTAATGTTCCTTTGATTTTTTTTTCCTGAGTTATTCGCGAGTTAAATAAAGGAAAGAGATCATTCTGATTTTGATTACTCCGTTAAAAATCATCATATCGCAATTTAAAAAACAGATTCTTAAAGCTGAAACTTTGTTCTATCGAATAATCTAATTGCAACGAAAATTTCGCAACAAATGGTGAGTTGAGGAAAGGTCCTTTTACATATATGTAAAAAGACTTTCCTCGATTCAATAAATCAAGTTTTCATCGATGTGAGCTACCTATAGCTTCGGGTAAGCCAAGTCCCAGACTCATGAGTAATCTGCCGTTTGTATGTATCACGTCGACAAATGGTGCGTCATTTTTATGTAAATGAACAGATGTATCAGCTTTACGAAAACATGGTTGTGCTGGGTCCAGACCAGTGATTCTCTGCACAGTCCATTTGTTCTGCCTTTTTTTCAGCTCTCTTGCGATAAATCCGCAAATGTGAGCACCGAGACTATGTCCTACCAGATGTAAAGGACCCCAACTATTTACGTCCGATTCGTTGTCGATTGTAGCGTTTGTTACATGTTCTATAAATCTTGATGAACGAGCCGACATTAGAAAGCATTAACAGACTACTAATCTATATAGGCAATACAATCATTCGAAAGCGTCACTCTCCTTTCAAATTTGTTGCATTGCCTGACAAATTACCAATTACTGTGTATCACATATATTTTTTGCGTACGCACTTTGATACTTGATATCCGACTATTCTGGTATTAACCGCTGCTTTGTAATAATTCCACGTATTACCGCCAGCGCTCCAATCTATTATCACCACATTAACATCATCCTACGATCATATACAATTTCATAAAAAATGAATGACTATTTAGAAAATAAGACCGCGCAATCGACGGACTCACCCATTCGAGTAATGCCTTTTCCATGTCCCTAATCCACGTTTCTTGACCATGAGACAGAAAACCATGTACTATGATCACTGTCCTGCGTTCTATCTTAAAGTCTGTCCATTCTAAACCAAACTGTTCGCCAAGCACCACTTGCACGCGGTGAGGCTGTTTCCTAGAGGACAGAAGAAATTGCACGTCCAAGGCGTCACTCCCATTAGGTTTACTTCTAAAGAACCATTCCAGACTCGTCGCGACTGTCTTTCCCAGTCCGAAGCAGTCCACTTGTTGTGCATCTTGCAACGAATAACTGAACTCGCTCAAGTTGCTTGCGCGAGTAGACAATGTATATGTGAAATTCACCAGAGTAGTCTCATTGAGTGAAGGCACAGCTGTGATGAACGTCGTTTCATTCAGTGCATGTCCGAAAGACTGAGTTATGTTTGCTGAATGCAGATGCCATAAGCAAAAACATTCTCCGATGAAAAAATGGTACAGAACGGTGAACGTAAGAATTATTGTAAATACCGTCGTCATTATAGACTAGCACATTGGCTTTTGACATGGTGCCTTTTAACATGTACATATATATGTATACAAAATTGTTATCATCATATTTGACTAGATAAATCATGCTGACTCAATCGGAAAATTTCTAGACAAACAACTGTTCTTACTCTTATACGGTTAAAACAACATTGATTAAGTAAAAAGAAACGCGGCTTTCGATAACACGTTATCAAAAGTAATTTCGAAACCGATATATCTTGTAACCGATAATCTTGTAACATTTGTCATTTATTTAGAAAGAGTCAATATTTCTTTTCATTTTAATTGATAAAAAAATGGAATAACAATTTAAATTTTTTAATTTGACTCACATTTTACAATGTATTTTTCTTTGTGTGCACTCTATGTAATTAAAACTAATATTAATTAAAACTATACAGTTATTAATAACTAGTATTATAATTACAAGACATTCAACGATATTTGGCTAATCAGTTCAATTTGCAGGACATTTTAGATAAAAATCCTGATTTTTCCAGGTCAATTAATTTCCATTAGTTGATTGACTTTTATTGATTCGTACATTTTATATGACAAATTAATTAAAAAGCAAACAAATTTAAAATTATTATATTTAATGCCTTATAAATAATAAAAAGACATTCAACATACAAAAGATAACTCCACTGCTATATTCTATTTTAATTGTTTTCTGTTTAGTAACCTATTGTCTTATTGCATCTTTAAAGGAAAACTTGTACCTAAATACAACTTTTTTTTTATTAACATATCACAAGCATCTTATAAATTTTCCTTATAAAATTATTAATTTAATAGCACTTTATTAAATTATTAATTTAATTTTTAATAGGCGCACTTGTTTTTGAAGCCTCATTTAAAATATACTCGTAAAATTTATAGTTATCAACATAATTCTTGCACACACGCGCGCGGGAAATACTTCTTATTACTTTCTTTTTGTACAATCTGATTTTTTTATGGAAAAATGACAAAAATTCCAAGTCAGTCCTGAAATTGCAGTTTTTTTTTTTAACGATTTTCAAAATACATTAAATTCTAAGATAATTTCAACATTAAAGGATGGCTGAACACTCAACTAACTAAAGTAACTAAAACTAATAACAAAATATTTTTAACACGAATATTCAGACGTACTTATTATATAAATTTTAAGTATTTTCATAGAAATGCGTAAAAATTATATTTACATACGCATGCACATATACAGTGCCGATCAAAAGTTTAAACATATCTGTATAAAACGGCTGTAATGGCTTTTCTCACTAATTCAAACAATTCTAAAAATTTAGCAATTGAAATAGTCTTCCTTATACATACAATATAATGACCGGTGCTCTTTTTTCACAACTAATTTAGAGCTATTCTGAATATTAGAATCATGAATACATATAATTATATTAAAGATTATATTTTAATGTTGAATTTTTGCAACATGGTGTTTCTTCCAGTCTTACTTTGTTACCTCTGATATCTATATTGTGACGAAAGATATAATCGAAATTCGATATATCTACTGTTTTGCAACTCTCGCGCGACCCAGTACCTTCGTATGTACTCGGCCGGTATCTTGCGATAAGTTTTTGGTTGATGACTTACAAGTAATATAAGTTATGATTTCTATATCATTTACATTACTATAAATCAATATGCTATCAATATATTACTCTTGTTATGCCAACTCACTTTTATTGAACAAATAGGGAAAATCGTATGGTGTATCCAAACTTTTGATCGGTACACACTGTGTACGTATAATTCATTATAAACATATATTTAAAAACGATCTGTACTTATATTATCAAGGAAAAAAAAAGTGAATGAGCAATTTAATAAACGTTTTATAGTAAAAAATTGAACATATCTTTCATATTTTAGGAAATAAGAGAGTTTCTCGAAAATTATTTATGTGTATAAATAAAAAAAAGTCAATGTTAAATATTAACCTCATCCAGAAACAATATTTTTATATACAGTATATACTTGTACATACAGTCCTTATTGTTGTAAAGATTTATCTTTTTTCTAAAGATAATTTGATGGAAAATGAGGAAAAAGTAGTGTTGTAATTATATTTTAAATTTCTGCTCCTTCCACTTCTGGAAGCGTTTCTCTTTCTTCTTTTGCTGCCATAAAATTTTAACATAAAAATAATTTCCATAATAATTACACATGGAAAAATAAAACAATATTTACTTACTCGAGGTTGTTGAAACCGTGTCTGATTTGCATTACTTTGTGTACTGCCACCTTGGAAACTGCTAAAGTCTACTGAATTGTAATCGAATTTTTCTGATGGTAACATACCCTGTTGCTTTAGGATTTTCTCGTTCGCTTTTTTGTCACCTTTTTTCCTAGCTCTGTTATTACATAAAGAATTTTGTTATTACTACACGCGAATATGTGTTGTATTTTCTTTTCGACAAACAACTGACCTTATTGATTTAATTGTTACAGAATTTCTATTATTACTCTGAATTCTACTATTACTCTGAACTTGTACGAGACTCTCTTGCAACTTTCGTTCTTCAGTCACGTCCAGTGTTTTCTGTTTTGCTTTCTTGGACACATGCACGGTTTTATCATTTAAATGTGATGTCGACGTAGAAAAATCATTGCCGTCATTTCTTTTTCGACTCTCATTTCCAATATGAAATTCTCTCTTCCTTTTTTTGGTATGTGTTTGACTGAGAATTACATTACATTATTAGTAAATTTCTTTTGCTTTTTCTATTAAATCTCCGCTTGTATATTCTTTTGAGACATTTATTTGAAGTAAAATAAAATAGACGCTTGAAGGGTTAAGAATCAGTCATCAATAACCTTCCCTTATACGAAATTTCACCGAAATTGAAAGATCTTTAAGATTACCGTAACATTTCCGTCCGTTATATAAATTCAGTCATTTTGAATTTCCAAATTCAAAACTCGGATGCGAAATCAGCGACCACGAAAACCCCCTTATACGAAATTTCGCCGAAATCGGAGAACTTCAACAGCCTCAATAAAAAAAGGCTTAAAAAAAAAATGTGACACACCAATTTTAAGTTTTTCTTTGTTACTTAACTGATTCTTAGCCCTTCAAGTGTCTCTTTTGTTTTATACTTACAGAGCCTTTTTATTATTTATTATTTGTTTAAAGTGTTCATGAACTCTGTTTTTACTCTCGTTAATCTCAACCTCGTTTACGTATTTGTCCTGGATTTCCATAGTCAATCTCTCTTCTTTTTCTGTTTCCTCTCGTTCTTTTGCTGTTTCCTCTCGTTCTTTTGCTTCCTGATCAATTACCATTGGTATGACACACCTGTATCTCATAAATGGACTGATAAATATAATCTTTTTTTTATCTCCTTTCATATTGCCTTCTGTTTTTTTGTTCTGAAATAAGAAGTGTAATTTATTAACGTATTTACACCCACACCCACGCATACACGCACATATTATTATAAGGTGTATCAAAAGTCCGGAAATGATCAAATATCTCAAAAATAAAGCATTTTTGGAAAAAATGATTCAGACAAAAGTTGTAGGGTTTGAAAAGCTCTATTTACTGATCGTATCCGTTTGACCTTGGACGACGTCGCTAGGGTCAAGGTCACATCGATTTTTTTTTAATGGGGCACTATTCTTTATTCTAGAATCTAATAGCTAATTTCAAGAACTTTTTACACCTTACAACTTTTATCTAAAACAAATTTTTATAATTTTTGAGATATTTCGAGGTCCGACCTTTTTCAAACACTCTGTCTGCCATAGTGATGAAACAACTTCCGACCCTAGGTCCTAGGTAGGTAAAAATGATTCTTTTGATGCACCCGACTTTGAAAGTTTGTCGGTTGAATTTTCGAACACCCTATATATTCTGTATATGTATATTCAAAGCACTCTATTTCCTATCTAAGATTACCAATATCTTATACATAATTACTATCATTATCATTTCACCTCTGATATAATTGATGAATCAAATATTGTTACAGTATGCTTGATGGTCTGACACTTGTTTGCCTGTAAAGGTTCTGATGTCATTATATTCTTGTCTAAAAGACATGGCAAGTCTGCTCTTGCTTCTGTGCCACTTGGTATATCATGTGGTATGTACAAGGAAGCCCCAGTGTTCACCGCAGAATTTTGTTGTGTCGGTCTTTGGCGAATGTCCTGTTCAGCGATAAATTTTACAAGCGGTTGTTCCCTAGCCTTCAGCACTATCTTGTGTATTTTCAGTAAATTTTGTCGCACTAATGGTGGAATTGGATTACAACATGCTAGAATACCCTGCATTTCACGCGGCAGTGTCTCAGCTATATTGAGCAGCATATGGTTCGGTAATACATAACCGATACTATCATCCTCCTCTCTTGCAATGAGATCTCGCCATCTGTGCAATTCCACAAGCGCGTATATCTGTTTATTGTTGAAGGACTTTTGACTTTTTCTGTACATGTTCATACAACTTTCCTCTGTCCAAATTGGTTTCACGTAGGTGCGCTTACAAATTTCAGTGCTTTGATCATACACAACCTTCAAGAGATTACTTTTGCCATTAGCCACATCAATCAATTCATTCTTCAGCATGTCCTTTATATAAAGTAAATAATGTGTATCTTCTCTTGCATATTTCATGAGTTCTGATGGTAAAGGCCTTATACGCCAATCGGCTAATTGAAAATGTTTGTTGGGATCTACACCACAATATTTGTTTAATAGATAAGCTAAACTGAGATAGGGTAAGTTTAGCTGTTTTGCAGCTTGATGTGTGTCAAACATGTTCACTACATACAGTGACAAATCCCTTTGAAGCCATAAAATGTCCAGATCAGCACCATGAAAGACCTTCAAGATTGAAGGTTTAGTAAAAATTTCATTGAGTTGATGTAATTCTGATCGCAGGATCAAAGTATCAATTAAGTAATCGGTTTGTATCGTGGATATTTGCATTAAGCAAGTAATGCCCTGAAACGTTCTATAAGAATGATGTTCCAAGTCCACAGCTATTTCCTTATGATTTCTCAAATCTTCTAGAAGAACCTTAATATCAGCTGGCTTATCAATGAATACCAAGTTGGTATCATTCAAGGATTTATATTTTACAGGTATTTTCTTCTTTAACTGACATTCTGATACTTCAAATTTATCCAGTTCAAACTCATAAGGGTGATTAAAGACTTCGCCATGTTCACCTTCTTCAACATAAAGAGCCAATGGCTTCAGAGAATTTGGTTTATCCTTAATTCGAGGCATCCATGGCTTTGAACTGTTATTAATTTTGTCCTTGAACATCAATTGTGGTCTTTGTATATTTTTTCCACCCAATAACCGTACTTTATCTGAATTATCTGAGACTTGGTTAGTATCAGTTCTTATATTCCAAGAACCATTCACAACTGGTTTTGGCATTTGTGACACAACCAATTCTACTTCAGGATTTCGTAGAATACCACTTTCTTCATCCATGAGTATATTCTGCAACATAGAGAGAAAAGAAATTATTAAAAAACTAATGCCTAAATTCTAAGTAGAATCATAAGGCTTATAACATATTCTCACAAGACTTATAAGAACTTTTAAATACCTATTAATAGATATCTTTACAGCTTCTCACTAGCCATAAGATATACAAGAAATCTTAGATTTACTAATAATCATGTTTTACAATTGATATGCATAAAATTAGAATACTAATCATAAGTTCTTATAAGTTTTACAAAAATTAAGGCCCGTATTCATAGTCGGTTCTTATTTCAAGACTGTCTTAAGTAATGTCTTAAGATGCTAAAGCGGCCCTCTGATTGGTTCGTAACTCCTCAAGACTGAACTTAAGACGGTCTGGAATATAAGAACTGACTATGAATACTGGCCTAAAAGTCTTATGGCTCTGCTTAGAATTGATACATAAATTTATTTGGGAAAATTCAAAATTATATCTAATTATGCTTACAGCTTGATCCAGTAAATGATCATTTGCTTCCAATAAAAGATCAAACTTTTCGTCGATGTCTCGGGTTTGGATGTTGCTAGAATTTCCTGCTAATTTCATTATGTTCTGCATTGTAGCCAACATTCTCTCCATATCTTTGTGTCTAGCATCGTTAAAGCTTGGAAAACAAGTGTAGTAATTGAAATTGTCTCCAACAGGTAAATTATTAGCTGCTTTGATTCCAGCTCTCATTGCATCAAATGCATCCTAAAATACACGTGCACTTTGACATTAGAACATTTTTTCTTTCTTGCCAAGATATATCTACGTGAAGGATATAATCTTGGTGAGAAAGCGTCGCCATAAGTAAGCATACCTGAAGGTAGTCTTCGAAGGTCGCATACCCAGGAATAAGACGGATCGGTAGCCCACTTTCCTCTTCAGCTTCCATGTTGTCACTTTGCATCACTTTGTGAAATTATGAGACGTTCGCTCAGTGATGCGATTTCCAACTTCCAACCCGCTTGCAGCCCTCGATGGTACGCTTATCGGGTCGGCGGCCTAATTGGTAGCACAACAAGCACAAACTCGTGTGACTTTGCTAGCAGAACCTTTTTTTTTATATGTATATTACATGTGCGTGGACCGCTAGTTGCCCCGTCCCACACCACCCTTCTCGCCCATAAGGTAATAAGGTTATGTATCCCAACATGAAGTTGGCTCAAGTCCCGCCCCGTGTGGCAAATTGCGGGAAATTTAAAGGATATAAGAAAGATGTAAGAATCGCAATATATTAGAATAAATTATCAAAGAAATTTAGATTTTAATTGTAATTTGACTCTTACTTTCCCCTTTTTAATGTTATTGATTATTGTTATATAAAAGAGTCCTTGAATTTTTCAATTTATCACTTCAACTTACTGCACCGTGTGTACATACCAGTTCAGGTAGTGCCAGGAGTAAAAAAATAGACCTCGCATAGTAGTTGCATATCGATACTTGTTGCGTACCGATACGATAATCTATCCCGTCCCTAGTACCACTAATCGCCGCCGTTTCTGTGGCGCTGCAGACGTTTTGCGATCCAAACGTTCGGCCGTTCCTGGCGTTTCGGTCGCACACGTCCAAAATTAGTAAATAAAGACGAGATGGCAGCGTTCGAGCCGTGCGCCGTGCTGTCGTCGTCCTCGTCGTCGTCCTTCTCCTCCGCCACCTCGATGTCTCGCGACGAGTGTTCGGCAAAATGAAGTGGAAACACGCCGTGCATCTCGCGATTGTTCAGAAAAGCTCGAGGAACTTGACCGTGTGACTGGCAAATGACAAAGGCTCGTTCCAAGAAGTGTATGCGTGAAAAATTACGGTGCGCTCGCTGCTGGACGGTGCTTGCTCGAGGATTGCGAGGACGGACGAGCGGATGAAAGGGGAAAGAGAAAGAGCGAGAGCAGGCAAGAAGGAGACGGAATAATTCGCGCTCCAGAGTTCACACCGTAAGGTACGAATTCCCGCTATATTTAGTCTATGATTTAGTCGGCCCGTCACCGCGACCGGCGCGAACGTATATGTGCCTAGAGTTATAGGAACTCTAGTGTGTGCGTACTGCGTGCGTATACGTCTTCCTCGGCAATCCTCGGCGATTCCCATTCAACGCTTTTGACGTCGACGTCCGCAACAAATTTATTATCCGTTGCGGTCAGGGAGAATCACGAGAGACAGGAAGAGAAGAGAGAAACGTTGTACGCGGAGAGAGGCTAGAGAATTATGATAATCGTGCTAACGCAAATATCGAACTCTATTCGTGAATAATTACAAGATATCGAGAAAAAAAAGGAAGTAAGAGGTATTGAAAGTGGAGGAAAAAGGTTAGAATAATTAAAAAAAATTAAATTTAAAAAGAAAGTAATCGTGGAATACATATATATATGTATATATATATACAGGGTGTAAAAAAATTAAACCGACAAACTTTGAGGGTAAATAGGGGACATAAAAACAAACATATTTTGTTAATAATGTTTTCCTCTACGACGCTTCGTTTTAATACTACAGGGTTGGATCACATTTGCCTTGTGACAAGTGGCACATCTTCCATGAGTTCTGGCAAAACTTCCTCGAGAAAAATACGATAAATATTGCCATTTAATCGTAAAGGTAAAATGTATGGCCCAATAAATTGAGTTAATCATTTGCCGTTCATTTTTATTCCGTTCTTTTGTTCATTGTTTTTTGAAGATTAAAATATACACGTGTAATTAAAATAAATTTAATTATTCCACTTATATGTTTGTTTTTTGTTCCTCGGACGATAACAACCAGTCTATGATAATAAATTATGTGAAACAATGTTTTACAGCATATAATGTTATTTTACAGTATTTACTTATCACTGACTCTCTTTGATATTCCACTTTCAGTTGTTTCAAATTTATCTGATATACTTGGTTGATACCTGAAATAATCTAAGCATAGATACAACTGCTCAAGATGATTAGAAAGTACTGGATCTCTCGCTGTTGTGGGCGTCATGAGGTTATCCAACTATAAAAGAAGCGCTCGCTCGTCATCGAAAGAACAACGCACGAATATATGTATACAAGGCATATACGTATATGGTACACGCGCATACGTAATCGCAAGCTCGATCCAACTGCTCCGTAAATGACTTATCAGAAAGGACTTCCTCGAGGTATTGGAACGCTATTTTTGTCGATACAAACCTACATACCGTGCAGCGATAGTGGCTGCTCTTGCTCGTACATATGTACTTGTAAACGCATGTATACTTGCCCACATACATTTTACGCATATTTCACGCACGTTTCAATTGACCTGGGTCGAATCAGATTCTTTCAATGTTTGTGAAATTTACTCTTGTGCGCGCTTCGTAAAAACCTTGGAGATTTAAAGTACTACGGTATCTCAGATTATCTGCATCCTGTTTTCCAATCGCTGAATTTGTAGAATAAAATTCCAGTAACTGATATGTATTTATCAGTAGCTTTAAACAGTGTCTACAATGAAATTTTAAAGCCATAAAACTTAAGCTTTAGGCTGTAAAAAATTGATCAATTGTAGTTGATTGTTCTACACACATTCGATTATAATTGGTCAATTTCTTACAATTTAAAGTTTAAGTTTTATGCCTTAAAATCTCATTGTAGATGTTGCTTTAAATTTCCATAAATCTATATCTACAATAAGTATTTTAAGTCTTAAGTCGTAAGAAATTAATCAATTACCATATAGCGATGAGAATAATTGAGGCTGGGTCCACAACCTCGCTTTAAGAGACCCTAAGCCGTAAAGCCGTAAGAAATTGACCAATCACAGTCGATTATTTTTCTCGCATTCAACTATGATTAATCAATTTCTTACGGCTTTATGGCTTTGGGCCTCTTAAAGTGAGGTTGTGGACCCAGCCTGAGTGTAATTTTTCCATTTCCTTATAGCTTAAGGTTTAAAAACCTATTGTAGATCTGGACTAACTCTCGATATAACTATTCGATATTGTCACATAAATATTCGCAATGGGACGAAAGGCACATCTTAATAAATACACTCGTCAGCGACAGATTTACCATAGAGATTTCTGCATCTGAATCATTTTTAACCGTGTAGTCGAAAGTTAGTTAATAAATTATTGTAAGATAAATAATAAGAAATATCAATTAATAATAATGATAATTTATGATAGGATATTATCATAGTACCTTAATGCATGATAAGAGAACATCGATCCGCGAGCGCAGTGATGTCATACTCTTAAACACATTACATCTTCGTAAATAACTAACCTTTATCGAGAGAGAGAGAGAGAGAGAGAGAGAGAGAGAGAGAACGTGCGATTGACACCGTATTAAATAGTAAATTTATAATATCAGTCATCTAAGACATTCTGTAATAGAATCTGGCTACGAGCGACGATTTTGTCAAGATCTACGAGAGAGAAATGTGTATATTCTATTTTATACTGTCTCAATCTATAATTTTAATTAAATTTTACAGTGACATGATGTTTGTATATATATAGAGATGTCTTTTTCTCATAGGCTTTAACAAAATCGTTCGTAACAGAAAAAAATGAAGGAAAGACTAATAGGAATTATGAATCGAATCGCACGGTAATTAAAGCCAAGATATAACAAGAAATAATAAATGTGACATTTACAAGTACGCGATAAAGAATAGATAATGCAAATACGTTTCTATGGAAATTATTCTTTGACATTTTATCGTAATTTATTCATTTTATGCAGGGTTGGCATTATTTTAGCCACCCTAAAAAATCCCAGTTGTGGTTTCTTTTGGGTTTTATCCGGTTAAAAAAACTCGAAATTTATAGTTTTTTGGAGTCTTATTGGAATTTAATTAAAGTTCATAATCAAACACCAAACTTTTTTTAACAAAAATTTGTTTAAGCGCTAATTTTAAGCACTAAATTATCCAAATAAATATTAATATAGTTTATAATATGTAGTGTCATCATTTCTTTCTTTATTTTTACTATAGAAGTGTTTTTTTTTATATTTGAAAAATTTATCATTATATTTTTACAAAATTCTTTTATAATTAGTGTTATTTGAACACGTAATTAAATAATGATGAATACAACGTAAACTAAATATTACGTGAAAAAAATATCAATCAATTTTATCAAAAAAATTCCCAAAAACCAAACAAATCTTCAATAAAACTGAATAAAACCCAGTGGACTAAGCTTTTTCGAAAAAATCCAGGTTTTTCCAACCCTGATTTTATCAAAATAGAATCGAATTGAAATAACGGGGGAAACAGTCGAACCAGAATGAGATCGGCAGATTGATGAGATCGGCTAATCGCGCGCAAAGAGACAAGAGTCATTAGTTACGATTCAAGTCAGTTGGTCCTTGGAGATCACCGACAAGAGCTTTGCCACCGCGGGTCTACATGCCCGCTAAAAATACCGTAACGCATCGAGTGAGCGACCGATTGGGAGTGTATCGAAAACGGAGCAGCGGCTTCGCGCCTATTTTCATTGTCGATTTTTCCCAATCCAAGCGGCGACATCAATGGCAACTCGTCGACATCGCGTGTCACGAGTATGGTACCAAAACCTGCCTACATATTCCAAGTCCGCGATCGACAAGAGATTCGATCACGAGACCATGCAGCGTCACGACGTTGCTTTCTTGGTTTCATTCACCCTCGGCAACAGTCACCATTGCTCACCGAACTTAAGCACACTCGTCAGCCGTTCGCCATCACGCGATACGATGCATTAATAGCCAAGCGACGAGGCTCTCGTCGCGTCGTCTGCCGTCTGAGACGAACCGTCCGTCGGAGAACTTGGTCATCTTCCTTCGGATCTTTTCACCCAAAAGCGATCCTTGGCTGAATACTCGCAACAAGATGTCATTTATTGTTAGTCGCGCCAATGTCATTAATATTTTTATGCTCCTTAACAATTTATTTGACTTTGTTCAGAAGTCAGAATTGGAAATTGTCATCAATAATTTTTTTGTTTCTTAAAACATATAGACGACGAGTCTCTCATCGTTAATATTGCAATCACTAATATTAGGTATAATTCGAAAGCTATCGAGATATTTCGAATTTTTAATCAATGGGTGCGATTGATCCCCCCCCCCCTCCCCGACAAGATAAAATTCAAGAGCTTTGGAAACTTATCGTACATTCGTAATTTATGTGACGATTTGCTAGTGAATCAACGTCAAATCTTGACGAAATTAATTGGCGTAATTTATGCGAGTATTCAGATATTTTTGTGATAAAAATTTCTCGCTAAGAACTCTGAAAATTGGCTGCTCAGCGGTATCGTTTGTACCGGTAAGAATAATCCCTTTAATCGCTCGAAAGTAAAATTAATGGTTTCGGAACTACAATGACGTAAGTCACGTATATAAAGTAAAGATAAATTACTCGAGAGAAACGAGAGACTAGAATTTAGAATTAGTTCTGAGCTTAAGACATATCATATATCGATCAAACTAGCCAACAATGTGTTTTTTA